ACCTTGAGTCTTAAGCAAAGTGAAGAATAAAAGGTCATATTTATTCCATCAGAGCCATGGGAGCCTGAAATACGGGAGTGTGAGTAAAGACGGTGGTAAATCACTCACCACTCCGGGGAACTCGCCCAATCTGTCTTCCACCCTGTCACCCGCTGGGCCACCGGGCATCCGTGTGCACAGAGGTGGAGGGAGAGAAGATGTGGGGGCTCCGGGGGACCCCAGATGGTACTCACTCAGAATTATAGCAGTCCTGAGAGTCAGTGAGATTCACAGACCTCTAGAATGTAAGGAGTCCCTCACCTCCAATGTCACCTTCCCGTCCCGCTTAGCCTGACCCCCAGGTGGGGCTCAGCCTGTCCCCCTCACTGACACTTCCTGTCTCTCTTAACCTGCTGAAACACCTCTTCATTTGTCCCTGGCACATCCCGAGTTCTAACCTGCTGAATGAGTTACTCACGCACAAAGATGGTACCGAGCGCCGTCTCCCTCCACCTTCCCACATCTCCAGCCCTCTCGGGCCAGGACTTGTGTTGGTTGTGGTGACTGCTGTACCCAAGGTCCCAGGACAGCTCCACCTATCATGTGACAGGTGCTCCGTGGACATTTTTTAGATGGATGACTCTCTGGAAGTTACTTGAGAGATGGTCTGACTCAGACCCCTCACCACGCCAGGGAGAGCTGAGCTCCGGAGGAGGAGAGCACTGATGGGGGTACAGAACTGGGAGGAGGACCCAGATTCCTGCTCCCAGCCAGAGCTCCAGGTCCTGCAGGGTCCAAGCTGCTCCGATACCACGTTGCTGTCCGTCACGTTCCATTAACCACCCAGAGGACCCAGGGCGGTGCAGCCCAGGGCAGGGAAGGCGTGCTTGCTTCTCACCCTGACTTACAAAACAAAATAGGTGACAAGTTGACTGATAACACACCTCCTAACCCAAAGGGGGCCCAAAACTATGTGTTCCATTAATTGGGGAATTCGGGGAGTTTCTTTCCTAAGAATTGTAGGGTTGGGGTGGGAAATGGGGAGGGGTGTTTCCTAAGCACCACCCCATCCTCCCGCCTGGCTGGATCCTCCCCACGGAGGCTCATCCCACCCTCACCCCCAAGCTGCGGTGCCAACACATCCATTGAGCTGTGTGCCAAGCTCTGTTCTCAGCGCTTTTCCTTACACATTCATTAAACCCGTCTGGGAAGTGGCGAGCTCCTGCCATCGTCCCAGTGTTAAAAATGAGGCAAATACGCTATAAAAGAAACGCTCTGTCCCGAGTGCTGGGAACACATGAGGAAGCAGGACAACTGGAGAGGCTCCTCTTCCTGGAGGGACCAGGCTACAGCATCGCATCGTCCTCGAGCACACTAGGATGGAGGTGCAGGGAGGTGACCAGCTGTGCCGAAGGAAACGGCACAGCAGGGGAGGGGCCCGGGGACTTGGGTGGTGGGAAAATCACAGCATTGAATAGGGTGGCCACCGGGGGCCGACTTGGAGGGGGTGAGCCGGAATCTCTGGGAAGGGATCCCAGGCAGGGGAGCAGCAGGGAGAAGCCCCAAGGCTGGAGAGCATCGGGACCCTGCGAGGGGGCCAGGGTGGCTAGAGTGGAGGGGGGGCAGGGTACGGTGGTCCCTGGAAAGATGTTGTGTCAGGGTTCACCCCTGGGGACACATTCACAGATGCTCACAGCCTGAACCAAGAGCCTCTTCCCGCCTCTGCTTGCTCTCCCAGGGATGCTTCCACACTGAACGATGAACACACTTACACACTGGCCAATGGACACACACCACACACACTCATGCACACACGCACACATTCACAAACACACTGGCCAATACGCACAGCTCTCCTCCACCCACACCCGGCTTCACCGCCACCCTCCTGCGTGGGTGTGAGTGTGCCAGAGAGGAGCAGGGCGACTCCTCCCCAGCGTCCTTCCCTCTGCCCAGCCACAGCAGAAGAGGGGGACAGAGCACCAGGTTCTGGGGCCTCAGACGGCGCACCTCATGGAAAGCAAGTCTGCGACTTTCTCGTGTGTAATTTACTCACGTGACCACGTCTAAACTAAAGGTCTCAGGCCTGCACGCATCCTCATGCAGGGACAATGACGCCTGAGTGTGGCTCTGGTCTGTGTTCTTCATACCATAGGAGCCACCTGCGGATGGGGTCATGACACTGCTGCTTTTAGTTACCCTCAGTCAAAACTAGGACTGTGCCTCCCGGCCGGAGGGGCACCTCCACGCTCCTGGATAAGGAGTCGGGTGCCTGATGAGGCTCATCTTCCCCCCCCCCCCCCGCCCCCCTGCCCAGGACCAGACCCGGCTCCCTCAGCCCCGCATGGCTCACCTTCACCACCAGAGGGCTCCTGCTGGAGGGTGGGCCAGCGGTGCCAGTGTTGTCTGTAAAAACGATGGACACTTAGATAGGTCATCAATTAATTCATCTATTGATAGATGATAAAGGAAAAAAGCATTCGCCATATGCATACATGGGTGATGGAGCTATTTTTGATGTCCGCGCTCTGCATACGTTGATTGTAATGCTCCCACCACTGCCGTTATGATTGTAACTGCTTTTACAAACAAGAAGACTAACTGGGCATGGTGGCCCATGCCTGTCATCCCAGCAACTCAGGAGGCTGAGGCAGGAGGATCATGAGTTCAAAACCAGCCTCAGCAACTTAGGGAAAGGCCTAAGCAACTTAGCAAGACTCTGTCTCAAATTAAAACATAAAAAGGGCTGGGGATGTGGCTCAGTGGTTAAGCACCCCAGGTTCAATCCCTGGTACCAAAAAAGAAATTAAAAAAAAAAAGGAAGACTAATGCTTTCTGGGAAATCTGGGAACAGGGTAAAGATATAGAGGGAAGCTGTGGAGTCAGGATTTAGCCCAGAGCCCAGGTTCCTCTGGTGCTAAATCATGTGAGCATTCAGGGTTAGGGACCTGTCCCTGCCTTCCCACTGTCCTTCTATGGCTGTGCCCCACCTGCCCTTCCCCTGCCTCTTCCCTTCTGGTGATGTTCTTGTGGAAACTTGGAATGTCCGAAGTGGGTGTGGAAGTACAGAGAAGGGAAGTGTCTTTCCCCAGGTCACACAGGGCTCATGACAGAGCTACTGCTCGAGGCTCCCGTCCCCAGCCTGAACCTGGGTGCCTGGTGGGTGGGAACAGCTCTGTCCCCATCCTCCTTTCCTTGGGCTCCTGGGTTTGGACTCTGTCAGAGGCTGCAGTTGTCTGGATAGAGCGGAGGTCTCCCTCCTGAAGCCACGCCTCCTCCCTTTCCTCCCTCCTGTCTGCTCGCTGCAGATGTGGTGTCTGGGAGGATCAGCAGAACCAGCCCAGGGAAGTGCTGAGTGGGCTCCACCTGACCACTGCTGGAAGGGCATTTCTCCAGGGGCCCAGGCAGTGGGCAGATGATGCAGCAGCTCTGCAAGCCAGATGACCAGCAGGCCACGCATCAGCCCCCAAGAAAGCATCGGCCAGTTTCTCCACCAAGCTGTCATACCAAATATCCTTGGGATATAAAGGTGACAGCTCACACTGGTGCATGCTTTGCCACTTGCAGCCTGTCCCAGGAGGGATGCGTCTCTTTGGGTTCCTCAGCAGTCCTGAGGGCAGGTAGTGTTACCGCTGTTGACCAGTGACGAGTCCTTGCTTCCCCGATGTTGAAGAATAACACCAGAAAAGCACACGCCGAGGCAAGGTCAGAGTAGAAATTAGAAGTTTATTAAAGGACAGCAGAAAAGACTTCTCCCGGAGGAAGAAGGGGACCCAAGAGGTGGAATCCGTGGAAGTGCGGTTGTCTCCCCTTTTTATAGGTTTGGTGATGGAATGCAAGGGGGAAGGGTTAGGACACAGGTGGGCCAAACGGGCAGGAAGGACTTAATTATCACCTTTTGGGATGGGCTTATCACTTCTCTGGGATGGGCTATCTCCAAATCTGTTGGGGCTGTTTCCTGGGCTCCATTAACTTTTCTTTGAGGTGGACTTTGGCCTAGGGCCTTTTCGGGACTTCATTAACATTCCATGAGTTGTCCTGCGTTTCCCGGAATCATTCTCAGCATGGCCTCCATTGTAGATTTCACTGGATATTAGACCCGATTTACCTAACTACACTGACTACCTAACTTTAAATCTGGCTTCAGTAGTAGTGTGGGCCTTCCTGTTTGATAGACAAGAGAAACATCTCTTTGTCCAAGGTCACTCAGCTGGCAGATGGCAGGGGTGGATTTGAACTTGACCTTCAGACATTTGGCTTTATGACCACAGTATTTCATAAAGGAGGGTTAGGCATCCTGGGCAGAGGGGTCAGGTAATCTGCCCAGGGTCACACAGCTAGTCAGTGCCAGAGCAAGGTTTGAACTCAGGCCCAGGTGCTGCGAGTCACTGGGTTTTCATCTTCAGCAGTTCCTCCTGGGCATTGGATTCCTGCCATGTCCTGCCCTGAAACTGCCCCAGTCTTCAACCCTCAATGAGTATGGAGAAGAGCAAGCAGATGGTCAGGGGCCACTCTCCCCGCTGGGCACCTTCTCCAATGCCGCCTGTGGCCAGCCAGCCTGGGCAACAGAACTAAGCAGCCCCTGTGTGCACTGCTGGCCACCCGAGCGTCCTCAGCCTTGCTGGAGCGACACACAGATTCCCAGCAACCCCTGTTCTTCCTGCTCCCCTGGCAGAATTTGCTTTGTGATAACATTTTATATATATATATAGAGAGAGGTACAAAATGTACGCGTGTAGCAGGGACTATTTTAACCACTTTTAAGTGACAGTTTGGTGGCATCGAGTTCATTCGTGTTGTGTAACTATCGCCTCTGTCCGTCTCTAGGAGTCATCATCCCAGTGTGAGATGGGCACCCTCAGACAGCAACCGCGTCCCCCTCCACCAGCCCCTAAGCCACCCTCCCGCCCTCTGTCTCTCTGAGTGTGTCCACGCTAGGTGCTTTGTGTACTGTATCTGTCCATTTGCACCCAATGTCTTCCAGGTTCATCCCGGTTGTAGCATGTATCAGAATTTTACCAAAAAATGGTGACAGCTTCACAGATGTGCATGTCACCTCTGACAGGGGTCACACTCGTCTTCTCTGTAAGGTTCCAGGTTTTAGTCTATGTGTGCTGAAGAGAGCACTGTGGTGGCATTCTGAAGGATGCTGGCGCTGGCTTTGCCCCTGGGTGTTGTCCCGTGAAATCCACGGGTCTGCGGATGGAGGTGAATCGTGCCATCCGGTTCCATGTTTGGTGGTGCTGACTCGGCGCCAGCTGGTTGTCCTAGCGCATCCTGGACACAGCTGGTGGGGAATCTTCGGCTCCCACCGTTCTGTATGTGACAAGGTATAATTGACCTGACACCTTCTGTGTTTTTCTGTAAACGATGACTTGTTGAGCAAACTCTTCTCAGCTCCTCCAGGAAGTCCCACATCTGTGAAGACCTGGATGAAGAGAGACAAAGAGAAAGGAGAGACAGACAGACAGACAGAGGCCTTGCATGGGATAAGGGGGCTGGTCCTGGTGGGCTCAGCCCATGGTGACAGAGCACTGCTTTAAGAGAACAGAGAGAGAAAGGAGTCTCAGGAGCAGCCCCGGGGGTCTCACCGATGGCTCAGTGTGGGCCACCCACGGATGCAGCTCCCAGGGAATTCAGAGTGGCCCTGAGAAGCGTGACATCTGATGGGGAGAATGTGGGTCCTAAGACAAATCACCTGACGGGAGGGGAGCAGCTAAGAAGCACTGGGATCTGTGCCTGGCAGTTGCTGGGGAGGATGGGATGCTAATTCTGGAGAAGTGGGGTGGCGTGGCCTCACAACTGGAGAAAGTCAGCCAGGGGAAAAAGAAAGACATAGGAGCTTTCCAGGCGGACCCCTGGGGTTGCACTAGGGACAGATGGGTGGTCCCTGAGGAGGGGAGGAGCAGGCTTTCAGAACACAGCCCACCTGAGCTGAGCATCAGGAATGGATGCGTTGCCCAGAACTAGGAGGGGGGCAGCAGTTGGCGTGTCCCAGGAAGTGCAGGAGCAGAGTGCTGCAGCCAGAGGGGCCTATGTTGAGGGACTGAGGAATCCGGTGACTGTCAGGGCCCCTCTTGTTCCTGTGGTCTGAGTGGAGATGACCAGGAGAACTAGAAAGAAGCCAGCCGCCGGCTGAGAGCCAGCAAAGGCAGTGCTGGACGGAAGGGCCCAGGAGGCCCAGGGCTGCACCTAGACAGACCCCAGATCTCAGCCCACAGCAACTCTGGGAGGGACTCCATCACCTGCCCCTTTTACAGAGAGGTTAAGTGGCATGCCCAAGGTCACACAACTGGTCACTGGTGGCACAGGGGTTGGAGCCCTGGTAGTGATTACTGGCACCTGTCCCCAACCTCCTGGCTTTCTCCACTCTGTGAAGGAGCACCCTGAAGCAGCAGCTGCCACACAGGCACAGGCAGCAGGGTCTGCCCTGGTTCCCCAGCCAGGAAGCAAAGGCAGGGCCTTCCTGATGGGGCAGCTCACCTGTCTCCAGGTAAGCTCTTACTCTGGGGAGATGGGTGCAGAGACAGCCTGCTGGGTCTCAGATCACTGTGGCCTAATTTCTAGTAGTGGCCAGGGCTTTGTCCTTGTGTCTGCTGAAAACAAGTGGCACATCCGGCAGTGTGCAAGCGCCACACCCAAGATGGCTCCCTGCAAGTGCCACACCCAAGATGGCTCCCTGCATGCTCAGTCAGGACCAGGCACCGCCCATCTCCAGCTTCCAGCTTGATGAACCAGCACCAGGGTTGCCTCTCTCTGGGTTGTGGGGTGAAGCATTGCCCACTCCTATATGTGGCTCATCCTCACGCAGACCTTCCTCTGTGCCAGACCCTGACCTGGGTTCTTCATGAATTGTAATTGACTGAATCCTCAGGACACCCTGTAAGGCAGAGATGACGAACACCCCATTTTACAGAAACAGGACATTCCTAGGACACTAAGACACAGAGGACACTACGACACCTCAGGATGTCAAGGGCTTACTATGTGCCAAGTGTTGTTCTAGGCCCTGGGGAAATCCAGGAACAAAAGAGAGGAAAAGTTCTGACCTCAGGGAGCTGACATTCCAGTGGAAGGAGAGAAAGACAGACACTGAACAGTAAGCACAGGGAGTGAGAGATAATGTCTGTCAGGCAAAGTGCAATGGAGGAAAATGAACAGAGTAAAGGGCTTGGGGGAGCCAGGGTAGAGGTAGGCGGAAGCTCACATAGGGTGATTGAGATGGTCTCCCTGAGGAGACCTTAGAGCAGAAGTTTGGAGAAGGTAGGTAGGTGAGCATCTAGCTACCTGGAAGAAGAGCATACAGGCAAAGAGAACAGCCAGTGCAAAGGTCCTGTGGCAAGAAGCCCTGGGTGGGTCTGAGGAGCTGCAGGCAGCCAAGGTTACAGAGTGAGCAGGGGGAGTATTTGGAGAGGGAATCCGTGAGGCAAGAGGCAGATCACCTGGGACCTGTGCACTATGGAGGACTCTGGGTTACATGAGATGGGCTTCACTGGGGTGGCACTGAACAGAGGAGGGACAGGACTGACGTATATTCTAACTGTATCCCTCTGACTGCTGTGGAGATGCAGCTGGGGGAGGGGAGCAAGGGAGGACACCCAGAGGCAGAGGTTTGACCTTTAACTCTGCCTGCAGTCCCCAGGGCTGTGGAAGGAATGTCTGGATGCACCTGAGGCTGGAGGCCTTGGCTGGGCGCTTCGTCTCAGAGTCTCAGCCATGATGGAAGGAAGTGTCTCCTCGGCTCACTGACCGGTGGAGCCACCAAGGCAGGGGCACTTGGGAGGGTCCCGTGTTCTCAGGAGGGGCAAAGGCAGTGAGCAGGGTCACAGCCAGTTCCTCATCCCGGGCTCTGGCTTGCAAGTGGATAAAAGGCCTGACCTTTGGGGCCTTGAGGTTTCTGCATACTCCACCATTCTGAAGAGCAGCCCTGCACCTCTTCCGGTCCTCACTCAGGGCCCTGTGTTCAGGCAAGACCAGTGTTTGGCACCAGTAGAGGGGACTACATGCCTTGCACTGGTAATCTGATAATTTTGACTCCTCTAATCCCTGGACCATCAAATATGGGGCCCGGGGTCTTCCAGATGCACAACACTCCATCCCACAGAGTTTGAATGCAACCTCAGACTCCTTCTCAACACTGGCACCCAGAAAACCCTCAGAGATGGAACACAAGAGTAAACATATTTGCAAACCTTCTAGAACCTGGTTCCTGGCCACTGCCTTGGTGACCTCATTCCCTACCACCCTCCCTTTCTATCTCCGTTCCAGCCATGCTACCTCCTCACTGTTCCTGTCTCAGGGCCTTTGCATGGCCTTTCCAGGCAGCTCCTTCTGCCCCAAAACTGTGCCCACATGTATCCACGTGGCTCTTTACTTCCCTCAGACCTCCCACTGGCATGAAGCCCTGAGACCACCATCATCTCTCACCAGATCCCATCTCTGTTCCAATTGACTGTGTGACCTCAGGAAGTTCATTTAATCACTGTCTCTAAAATGGGGAGCAAAATTAAATGTACTTTCCACATAGCTTGAGAAAATACGAGGGTTCTGGGTTTTCATCTTGGCTGAGCACAAAACTCTGCAAGAACTTGGGCAAATCTCATAACCTCTCTGAGCCTCAATTTTCACTTCTGTAAAATGGGGATGATAATAGCACCTCCCTCACAGGCTGCTATACAAATTAAATTAATTAATAATGTAAAATACTCAGAACGGCGTTTGACGAATGGTAGATGCTCAGTAACCGTTACCTGTTACTGCAAGGTAACATGTTTTCTTCTTTGATAATTGCCATCAAACAGTTGGCTTGACTCAAAGACTTACTTCCTGCCAAAATTTCATTCTGCTTAGTTCAATTTAAGTAAAACAGTACAGTCATCCTTTAATGTCTGAGGAGAACTGGTTCCAGGACCCCTGCAGGTACCCAAATCCGCAGATGTTCAGGTCCCTTATATGGAACCGGCATAGTATTTGCATATAACCTACACACATCCTCCTGTATTCTTAAGTCATCTCCAGATTATTCATAGCACCTAAGAGGATGCAATAATAGTGGTAAGAAAAAGAGTCTGTACACAGATTTTTTTTTCTTCAAATATTTCCAATCCACGGCTGGTTGACTTTGAGGCTGCGGAATTGGAGGATTCCCAGGTAACACTGCATAGGGAAGTCTTGCTTGGGTGGCCTGGCAGGCCTGTGCAGGCAGCCTCTCTGCCCAGCCTCCATTTCTTCATCTGCAATGTGGGGCAACATTCCTGCATCAGAGTCAGTTTGCAGAATGAGACCCTGCCTGCAGGAAGTGCCAGCCTCACAGGAAGTACCCCATGCAGGGTGTGCAGATAGAGCATCCAATCTCCTCTCCTGCCTTGGGTTTGTGCAGGGAAGCCAGCAGGCCCCTTAGGGGCTCGGCAGAGGAAGGAGAGGCTGCAAAGTCAGGGCCTCTTGTCTGGGTTTAATGAGGCCCTTTCATGCGGTCGGAGATGTGAAGGCGGCTGAAGAGGTTGGCAGGCCACGGGTCCATGAAGGGCTGGTAATGAGGATGCCGAGCCAGGGAAGGGGCGCGGGGAGCTTGACGTGGCCTCTCCAAATTAGTGCTGGGCTCAGCAGGCAGCTGTGCGCATCGCTGATGGAGAGGAGGAGGGGCAGAGCTTCTGCAAAGGGGAGGTGCTGGGGGAGCTGAGACGGATGGGGCAGGAGGAGCCCCGAAGATAAAAGGGGTGTTTGACAACTTCAGGAAAGGAAGGAGCTGCTTTCTTACGTCGACACCAGCACCCATTTCCTCCTCACACAAAAGCACCCTACACCCCCCACCCCAACACACAGCTGCACAAGGCCAGCGACTCCGCCCACCTGTCTTCTCTTGGGGGCTGCATTCCTGGGGGAGGTTCATGGCTGCTGCAAAAATGGAGAAGCTCAAACACAACAGGATTTGATGTCTTTCTTGGCCTCCTGATGTTCAGTGTGGTGTGCCAGACCAGGCAGGAGACGCTCAGGTTGGGTCTGCAGCTCCCCGAAGGGCTTATCAAGGTCAGGTTACCGCAAGGTCCAGGGGCGAAGGGAAGGAGCATGTGGGGGAGGCTCTCTGGCTCTTAGAAAGCTGGTGGCACACTGTGTCCCCCATTCCATTT